CTGGACGACGAGTGGAGAAGAGTGAATATATGAAAAAAGTAATGCAACGATGATTGAGGAAATGGAATCTGTTGAACCCAGGACTCGTCGGAGACCAGAGTCTCGGGTTGCGTCTTGAGTGACAGCTTCATGAAGCTCGGCGCTGGAGTTTGAGATGTGAGCTTCGGTTGCCATCAAGGCTAAATCGAACTCTCCGGACCAGCCAGGATTGAATGTTGCCGATGGAGCCCCTTAACTGGGCTACACTGGGGCGGCAGCACGACTGCGCGGAGTTGCGAGACGTGACGAAGACCCCCCCACTGCAGCTTACACCCCTACCCTGCTCAATCACTTGTCAAAACCGATATTTTTGCTCCACGGTACACGATCATTGGAATCGCGCTAGGGAAATGGTTGGGAGGCAAGGATTTGATTCCCAGGAAGAAGTTTCTGCATCTCGACAGTGGGTCAGCTTGCGGGTTTGCTTGAGCCTTGTATTTACCCCACTCTAGACAGTTGAAAAACTGAGAGAGACGCAAGCTGGGTTGCGCTTTTGCGCGTTTTAAATTCAAGATGATTGAAATTCTCAAGATATTTTAATGGAAAGAAGAAGGGGGGGCATGTATTGCATAGATTTTCAAGATACAAATTCAATACTACAAAATAATACAAGAGGAGAAGGCCAGCGCCGTCAATTCAGGTGGGGGGCGGGCTGCTGACGAGGAAGCATAACAAGCACGGCCCGGCAAACAGGGCAGGTGTCGGCCGATACAAGCCAGGGCTGCAACAGAAAAGGATAGAAGTCAGCTATGATGCGTGTGAAGGTTGCAGAGGTTAAGGAGAGATACTTACTGTAAGGCAGTCGCGGTGAAAGAGATGGGTAGGGTGACAGGGAAGTTGGAGGATAATCTGTCCAGGTTGAATGATGTCCTCGGCACAAATTTGGCATTCCAAAGCGTCACCGTCGGGCGCGGCGGCGGCAGCAGTCGCGTCGGATACGACCAGAGATTCCAAGAAAGCGAAGGTTTCACGGCGGAATCGGTGAAGACGTTCAATCGTAGACAACCAGAGAGCATAAATTTGGATCAAGGGTGTTTGAAGTCGACCTCTTGTGAAGGCGTCCTCGGTAGAAAGCTCTTCCTCATCCAACTTGACAAATGCTCGACGAATGTAAGACGGAACAGACCCAAGGAACCGTTGGTATCGGGCGTCGTCCAGGCCGTTGCCGAAAGGATTAGCTTCTAATTCTTCGTAGCATTTGTACAGACCATCGAATTCTTCGAGGAAGAGCAATCAAAGGCGACGTCGCAGGCGATATAAAGCCGCAAAAGTTCCCTCTATCAATGCTTCATCCATATTGTATAACTATTAGACTAAGGGGTTGTTTTTTGTAGGAGCTCTTTGGGTATGGGTGGAGGAGGGAGGTGGAGGGAGAGATGGACACTGAAGTTGGGGTGAGGGAGGACGGTATGGCTGGAGCAGTACGTCTATAAATACCTTTCATCCATGCGGAGCCTTTTCTGTAGCAGCACTTGTAGTAGGCTCGGGGGTTAGTCTGCTGAGACTCGTGCTGCTTCAATCAATTGAGTCAACGGCTGCAGAGGAGGGCTCAGCTTGTTTGATGCTACAAGCAATGTATGTTTGGTAGCAGCTGAACATTGATCACGATTTCTCTACATGTCTTTGTGCTGTTGACAAGGTAACTGCTTTTGACAAAGGCTTTGCTTCCCTCACCGTTGGTGTAGCTTCTGCCGAAGCGGAGGCTATTTTCCAAGTGTAATGTGTTTTGCAACAATTTGCACGGAAACATATTTACACACTAATTCTCTTTCTGACAGGAGGGTTCAGCTCGACAGATGCTTTCAGTCAGCTAGGCAAGGCAGCATCTGAAGGATGGTGTTTTCACTAGGTACCCAAAATTTTCTAGCTTTTGCTTCCAAGGAATCTGGCTTGCCTTGTTGGTGGTGTATGCAGCTTCCGCCAAAGCAGTGACTCTTTGAGGTGTATTGTGCTTTGTCACAATTTTCACTGACTTCTTTTGCCGAAAAGCTTTGCTTCCCTCACCGATGGTGTAACTTCTGCCGAAGCGGCGGTTTCCTTTTTCTACCTACCACTACGCTTCCGAAAAGCTTTCTGCTTCCAAAGAATCTCTCTTCCCTTTCTGGTGGTGGGTGCAGCTTCCGCCGAAGCGGCGAGTTCTTGAGGTGTATTGGGCCCTGCAACAATTTGCACGGAGATATGTCTCTAGTCACTTTCTTTCAGATCAAGCCCCAAAAAACTAACACTTCGCGCGAGCGAAGCTTTTCATTTCTCGTGCTTTTCCCAAACATGATAAGAATACGACAAACGTGAAACTATTTTGTTTACCAAGGGCAAGGGAATCGAGACTTAGATTGACTTGATTCTCGTGGCAAAGACCGCAAAGGTTAGCCAATCCTTTCCAACGATACAAGCAAAGCCAGATACTGGAGCGGGGGACATTGCGTCACCATGCATTCCTTGAGTCTCCGTGATCAGAGCTATCTCAACCCAATCTCCTGGATCAGATCATCAGCGGGCCTGGATTATGTTCAGCCAAGCCAGTGTTTCATAGGGGGAAGTCTGTTGAGTTCAAATTAGAATGGTCCTTTTGAGATGAATTCTTGTCACACAAATTTTGCACATTTTTCTACTTGAAATTAGGAATCCCAAATCCCAACGGTCGCCTGCTGAGATGAATTACTACTAAGTGTCAAGACATGACACAAAGTTTTTTCTTTGCGCTTCATGTTTTGCCTAGTTTTGCTATGTGTATGGAAATTTATTTCTTCACTCCCAACGGCTCCCTCAGTGAGCCTAGATAATCGTTGGGTGCATGCTCAAGGGATTCAAAAATTGAGATGTTGAGCATTTTATTCAGTTCACTTGCTAATCATCCTTTGATATAACATTTATCAAGTGAGTCTTGGCTCATCATACATGGAGATTTTTACTTAATGGAAGTCAAAGTTCATAGTTCTCAACCGCCGCCAGCGGTAATGGGGTGATTACAAGTCTAATCAATACATTAGACGAAGGGTTAGACCAAGGATCAGAAGAAATTTTTTGACTGAATGTGAAAATCCTAGGGAATTGAATCACAACCGTTTGTATCACATCACTCAGTATTGTGAACAAAGGACTGTTGAGGTGTTTGTATGTTATTGAATTGTCACCGGCAGAAGCACCCTTCTTCTGAGATGGCCAAGGATGCCTTTGTCCAGAAGAGTCGAGCTGGTGCTGCCAGCTTCAGGGCTCAGCAGTTGTTGAAGATATAAAAGACCGCCCACCTGGCTGCTGGTCTGCCAATGTTTCCTTCCACAACAACATCCAAATCCAAACCGCTCCCCTTCCCTTCACTCCCCTCTTCCACACTACATCTTCACGCTTTCGCGTGCTCCATCATAACCTCCAAACATGGCTGGACCAACTCCGCGAGCTAAGCATGCTCCTCCAGTCTCATCCCCCCTTGTCACTCCCCGCCACAAACGTGATCTTCGTGTTAGATTTGGAGCATTTGCTTGCCGCCCAAAGACTTCAATCAAGCTTCGAATGGCTTTCACTGCCGCCTTCCCTCTTCTCACCGCCTGTGCAACCCACTCGTACCGAGTTGGGCCTCTATCTCCAAATTCTCGCCCAATCATCCGTCTTAACCCTAGCAAAAAGGCCGTCAGGCTGGAAGTCTTCAAACGGATCAGGCCAGCAGTCAAGCCACGTCCTACCCCTCTCAAGCGTCGCCGTGCCGATGATGATGACCAGGGACCACCCAATAAGCGTAGGAAGTGAATTACAGTAAGTTACGTTTCTCTTGAACCTTTCTAGTCTGAGTCCATCTTTCTTCTGATATCAATCACTTTCTTTCTTTCATTCAAATAGAAATATCTTATCCAAATGTCCTTTCCATTACATATTTCTATAATTTCAATCCTTCGATCATACCATGGGCAAGCAAATATTTCTCTAGTATCTCGACTTTGCACCCCTCATGGTTTTGTCTGTATTTATCTGATAAAAAAACTATCCTCACGCAATATAGCCTCCTACTCTATACACGCATCATCAATCATGCCCTATATTTCTCAATTTTATCAGATCTATCCGAAGTGAGAAATTCAACTCATAGAGCTTTTAGTTTGATGGCTAACCAACTAACAAAGCCTCTCATCCGCTAGAACTCCATGAATTTTCTTGAAACAAGCCAGATATCAACTATTTAGCTTGGCTCACACCTTAAAGTTTGCTGCAATCTGGATCTCACTAAGTGCTATCGACCAAAATCTATGGTAAGTCTTTTTCTAATTTGAGCTCAACTTCCTCGATGATACTTAATCACTAATCAGATCCTCCTCATTTCCTGCATATATATCCATTGTAGCTTATACCACACTGTTCTTTTTTTCTGGATTGTTTTGAAATTGTTGCTGGTTGATCTTTATCATTGGAAATGAACTTGAATACTATCCTTTAACTTCTTTCAATTGTTTTATTGTTTCATATACACTTGCCGTCCTATTCATTGCAATATTGCAAAGCCATTGATATGGAGATCTGAGATCAAAAGCTTTGCGATCTTGAGTTCTATGATCACTACTTCCTTCAGTTTTGTCTATTCAAAGCTAACTTTGCGAGGGGGTCTTGAGCTGTGTACGCTAGAAAGTTCAGGATTGAATTTAAGTCATGGAATACAGTAAGTAACACAAGGTAAGAGCAACGGCAAGAGGTAACGTGAAAATGATCTGAAAGGTGATTTTCGAGTACTTCAATGCACCAAAACCAACAATATTACATTAACCACAAGAACTAGTTGTCACTTTTTGTGATCTACAGTTTATTCAACCACAGAGGCTCGAGCCAAATTCTTCGCTAATCATGAATATTTGAGGTGAAAAATTAGATCTGTACATGTTGAAGCATTGAAAAGACTCCTCAATTCTTACGGAACTTATCCCAGCTAAAAATAAAATAGTTTATCGAAATCAGGCATGTTTACTTTTTTGGAAAGAAAAATGTCGATTCAAAAACCACAAGTTGGTGTCGTTGAGGTTTTGGATATTGTATTTCAACTCGATCATGACTCCATAGGCCTATTCTGTTCTGCCATCGTCAATCAAGAGGTCTCCAAACTGCTTGTAAGCTTTTCCTAAAGCGCAAATCGGCCTGATGAAGTGAGGTTTTCAACGTTTTGTTAATGCTCAAGTCAGTCATGCTCAAAATATCTCATTCAATAAATGAATCTTACGCGTACCAAGAGAAATTGAACAGAGGATAGGTCACAATGATGGTTTCGTTAGAGGAACCTGCGATTGAATGATCTTCCCAATCACCAGACAGCTTTTGCTTATCCATAAGCAGCTTACAAGCCCTTTTGATGGGGCGATGATCTGGGTATTTGACTGCCAATAATCCCAAGATGGCCCAAGAGGTTTGAACAACCTGCGATTCCGTACCCTGCATGTAAAATTTCTGGGCACATGACTGTAATTTCAATTCAACTGAATAAGTTCTTTCATGGTCCTTGATTGCATTTCTTTTTTAGAGTATGAGAAAGCCATCTAGGTATGTAAGTGATCCTGACCTCAAACATTTCACTCCAACCTCCATCTACCATTTGTCTGTCTAGCAAAAACTTGCATGCCTTTTGGGCTCGGGTACTGTTTTCGTAGTTTTCTTGATTCACGGAGAGTGATTCGAGACCAAACATGGTTGCATATGTGAAGCTACATTGCAAATTAGTTTTCCCCAAAATCCGATTTAGTAATGAAATATCAATTTCATGTTACCTGAACAATTGTTTGCTGCGCTTCATGCTTACCAAACTCCCCAGGATCCGTGCCATGATCCGTCCTCCCTCTGGGTTGAATGAACAAATTTAAGTGCTGAATGAATGGCCTGTCTGTGATAGGAGATGTTACATTCAACGCAGAAAAAGAGGTCCCATAACATGTTTTGTTCTTGTGGAAAACCAATGCTCACTTTATCTCGGAATCTCGAAATTCTGGATGGTACTTTGTAAACATACTCATGGCAGTTAAGCAAGCAGTTGTACATTCGGTGTAACTATATCTGTAAGCATCCACAGTGCCTTTAGCTTGAGCGTTCATGGGGTTAGTAAAAATAAATGAGCAAATCTCTTACTCTATCATTGCATTTGCAAACAGCTCCGATGGATTCAGCCATTCTAACCACTTTGGTCCTCGTGTTAGCTCATATGAAGCGAATCCCCCATCGGAGTTTTGAAGGCCTAAGATTACTTCAATCGCCATATAAAGACGCTCTTTTGTCACTAATTCGGGAGTATAGCTGAGAATCCAATGATGAAGTCACGTAATGAGGAAAGAATTAAACTCGAAAAAATAAACAAAACAAGATTGAAAGACAAAACAGATGTGGATGAAGACTTGATGCTCACTTCAGCTCTTGTTGAAGCAACATTACAGATTTCAAAGCTTCAGCCGTGCAATCACTAACGGTATATGATTGCTTCTTGGTACTAAAAGGCCACGCTCCACGAGTCCTGTGGCGGTGAGAATTATGGTAATGCTACAAAAATGGCACGGTGGATCAAAAACTGAGATGAGAAAGTTTTTTAAGCCCAAATGCAAAAAACGGATAATACCTTAGGGTTTTCCAGAATTTGACATCTATCAAGCCAACCAAGGGCTTTCACTAGCGTTTCTTGACTGGGTTTGTCTTCAGTTTCAGCTATCCCGCTTTCTACAACTGCTTGAGTGATGAACGATAAATCCCATAACTGTGATCCATTGGTCGCCATCATAAACATTCCTTTACTGTTCAGGACAGAAGTAATATAATCAAGACAGAATAGGGTGAAATTTGACTTGAATAAGCATAACAAGTAAATTGGAATTGTGCAAGATTCTCACTTTGTCATCCATAAATAGTCTCCTAATCCACGCTGATGTCTCACAAATGCTTTGCTTCCAGGACCGTCTCGGTCCCAGCAGACCAAGAGATTGAACAGTTTGTTGATTGGTCCCAGGTGTATGAAATCCGTATCCTCATCTTCCATTCTACAAAGTTGATGAACGTGATTCTAATTACAGATATTTTTTGGGATGGGATCAGATTTCGTTTTACCTCGTTGGTTCAATCTTGTTCAGTTAGTAAAAAAACTTACTAGACCCATTTCTCTCAGTCTTTGTGGACAGATTTTTTCCCAGTATGACAGCATTATGAATGCGCATTTGAGGGCCGGATGGTGAGGGGAATGCAAGTCTGTTTCCGAGATAAGGCTCCGACAAGAAAGCCAATCGATATCTTCATAAGGTTGTATATACAGCTCTTTTCTCAATGCCTTGAGGAGGGGATCCAATTCCGCTTTGGCTTTTCTACCTGCCAGGTAGCTCATCGGGATGTAAACCTGACGGGAATGAACCCACCACCTTGATGGATGAAACGGCAGAAAACTGGGTAGAAGCCAGCTCTCGGGTGGCGTAGGATTTATTCCTTCCCAACTAAATAGAACTTCACCATGATCAGATGGAAGTATCCCGCTAAACAAATCTGGATGAGATGAATCACCCACTCATATACATTCAAAACGGATAGCCATACTTTCCCCCATGTGGGGATACAAGCAGCCCCGCCTGGCGGGAGAGAAGTTCATCAAGAGGGCATCAATCGCGTGCCAAATTTCGAGAGATCCAAGTAATAGAAAAATATGACTTACCCAGTGCATGTAAAGTGTTTCGTGCTCGAGCAAGCATAGGTACCTGGGCATCTAAGCCCAGCAAACGACAAGCTACATAGTTGAGGGCAGTCCCAAGCACAGTTGATTTCTGAGAAACATTACTGAAAGAAAAGAAGAATTACCCAATCGTGTGGTTAGGAGCCATCGAATCATTCAAGATGAAGAATTAAGCCTGTGAATAAAAGAATGATATAAAATCTTCTCACAGTCCCCAACCTTGGTCACACACATCATGGTTTTGGCGTTGGTGGTGGATAAGATAACGCAACAATTCGATTTTGAACTCTTCAGGCAAAACTGTCTTGGTGACATAACAACTGATTATTAATCCTATATGGGAATTGAGCCAATAATATCAGTAAAAATATCTGTAGCCTGTAAGTTTGAAATCTTTACAAAAATATTGTAAACATGAACTTTTATGTACCTGGTGTCAGAAAGAGAGGGCCTAATGACGATGTAGAGAGATTTTCAGGTGTTGGCTAGGATAAAGATTAACGATACTGCCTTGAAAGTAAGCTGACATACCGCCGTATTCAGAACTAATTACCAGGAAAATAGAGGAGATAGTTCTGTCAGACTGGAATCGTTTTTCAGGCACGAAGGATGCTTTCAGGAAAGAATTGTTAGTGAGACGCTACCTCCAATGTCCATCTGGGCTTTGAATGCGCTTCAGGAATTCAAACCCGTTCCTTGCCGCGTGCAGTGGATTTCCTTTGGGATCCGGTGGGAGTGGGGTTTGCTGTGATGAGAACGGTTTTGTGGAGACTCAGCACAAATGAACTTTAAAGAAGAGGCCCATTTTGAAGTGAAGCCCAGGCGGTAAAAAGTTACGGACTTGTTGTATTGATAGCCAATATTTAGTCTCAAAAGACTGTTCTCCCATCTCCCGCCCCATGGATGTATCATATGTCCATGCAACCTGACCTTCTCTACTGGAATCAAGATGCCATCTGCTAAGGTCAGTTTCGACCAATTCGGCAATCACTGTATCTTCGATAGCGGTATCCTGACGGTTAAGCATGGCAACGAAACTGATGATACTTCTTTGTAACAGAATCCACTGAATTGAATATCGAGAGCGTTTGTCATATTTTGTTCGGCTGTTCTTATAGATGGTCCACACATGACCAGGCGGTACGTAAGAGTGAAATCACCATAATCACCATTCGATTCATCAAGGAAAAAGTGGTGACAGGTTTTCCTACAGATTGCTAGAGGAGTCCAACTCCTGATGCCTTCAATTTTATCAGCAAAGAGTTTACCCCAGGCGATTGGCTTTGTAATAGTAGCTTGGTGATACTTGTGATCTCAGGAAATGAGACGACATCCTAGCCTTGCGATTCTACTTCAAGAAAATCCGAAGATTAAAGATCCAGTTACCAGTTATTCTTCTTGTTGGGGCTCGAAACTCACAACCTTTCGAGCGGAAAAAAGAACTTGTCGGATTCAGGAGGGGGTGCCTTTCGGCTAACGATGGGCTTGAAATTAGTTTAAACCAATCTGATAAACCAGCTACATGGCTTGCTGCATCCAATCCAGACTCGGATAACGAGTTCAGTTTTGGGGAGAGGTATTTTTCTCTATCATTCCAAAGCTACAGACGAAGACAAGTTGATGATGTCTTGGCCTGAGTTAGGTCGAACTTGGTATCCGGATTGCCAAGTATGCTCACTAAGAGCCCAAAGACAGAAAACAGGCTCCCAAAACGATTTATGAACTCCAATCGAAGAAACTGACAAAAGGAGGATTGTAATATGCAGTCTGGGCTGACCAGCAAGGTTGTACTATGTAGTTGTGCATCCTGACTCCCATGTGCGCATAGAGCCACCAGCTGGCACCACTACATACGCTCATCATCTCACGTCGGCTTGACTCGAGAAAGCATCAGCTGTTCATGTTAGTCTCATTCAACTCCTTGCATCTGGGAATGCTTAGTGGACTGACTTTATATATCAATCCGCATTCACCAAGCTCACTGGATATGCCAAAAGTCAACACATACCTTGTGGAGTGGTGGTACTTGGTAGTGATCAGATCAGGAGCGGAATGAGGGTTAACAAGATCATAGATGTGAGCTCGAATGTACTCCAGTTGTAGGCTAAAAATCAAAGAAAAACAACGAACGGAATAACAAAGCGCGTTCAGATCTAGAACCTTGTTGTGCTAGCTTAGCAAGCGTGTTTAGCAAGCGTGTTTGCCTGGAAAAGAGGAACTTGGTTTAGATTATGAAAGCTCCGCATACATTGGTCAAGGTTATGTAGTAACTTATGTACCGGCTGCAGCGCAAGCCAATTGGGCTTTAGCATAGCATTCATCTATCCAAGATTCTGAAAAATAAGTTCTATTCATTAGAAGCAGTGGAGCATCGCCGACTCATCCTTCAAGTGGAGAATTTCACCGCTGATACAGATCCGACTTCAATGAGGGGAATTCAGCAATATACATAGAGCTCTGTTCATGTGGCTCTGCCTCAAGGGAATGCTCAGCAGAAATCGAAGGATTCTTTTAAAATTCTTGATATGTGATGTCTTTCATTGTCATGTATGTGAGTTCAGTTCAGAAACGCGCGTAAAATTACAAAGTCAGGTATAACTCTTCTGCGTAGCTTGATCCCCGATTCCATGTTTGATCAGGTAAATAACTAGCAGTAAAAATACAAGAGTAGCTTGGAATCCGTTTTGCCGTTTTTTTTTTTTCAGTTTCTCTTTTTGAAGGGCTTGGATAAAAGAAAGCAATCACCGCAGAAAGACAAATGAAGATTACAGGATAGTAGATTTCTCGGGCGGAAGGAGAGACTTTTTGGTCATCATGGCCTGCCAAAATTCGGGAGCGAAAGATTTGGGACAATGGCCTATCCTGTGGATCCCGGATTGAGCTTGGAAACAGATTTCCGCCGCCGAAGCTCTTATGTGACAAAGCTGTTTCAAAAAAACAGAAATTAATGTGAAGATTAATCGGTTCCATAAATTCATGTGGTAAAAAATAAATAAATAAAAACATGAAGATACCTCATTGAATACCACATGGAATGGAAAAAAGTCTTGCTCTGGTGCGATTGCTGCTAATGCAGAAGCCTAAAATGGTTACGTGAAATTCATAGCTCAGTATAATACTTTGAAAGTGCTTGAGTCTGAAGCAAAAAAGAAAAAAGAAATAAAAAGACACCGAAACCCACTCGGATATTATTGTATTCAATTATCCCTTTTCCCCGAAGAAAAGTAAGTGAGTGACGATCATTTTCGACTGCTTTGACTGCATTCTCAAATCGACCGTCAACCCAAAAGGTCCTGCCGGCAGCTTCGAAGTTGAATTTGTCGGGTCTGCTTTCCTTCCATGTTGACGACACCTTATATTGGCTGCATTCACGGTATAATGCATGCTGGTATTGGTCATAACATTCCTAGATAAGAGGGTTCGGAATGGCACGATTGATGAATGGAAGTTTGTTTGAAACCGTACTATGAAGATCAATGGGACACTTACTTCGGCGTTTGACTTGATGAAATCCAGCAAGGTATGGGCATGCTTCAGGTTGGACTTGACAGTTTTCTCAAACTCCTGCCACGGCAGACTAAGACAGGGATCATTAGAGTCTACTTCTAAATTCTTCAACGTGAAGAGGAACTTGTGCCCTTCCTCTTGACTGGTGGAGGCAATAGCCTCTGTCAATTAAATCAAGTCAGCTCAATCAAGCGATGTAGGAATAATTACCCATAGAAGCAGACTTCTGGATTGCATACCCACCTAAAACATGGTCTTTCTTCAGCGGTAGATAATGCCTCTCATTTTCTCTAGAGCCGGTGTTCCACTCTCTGCTCCCCTCGTCCTTCGAAATGTCAACATATGAAGTCCAGTATGGAAGTGGAATCACCCCATTTTTGAGACCTCCAATAGCTTCTTCAAACTCTTGTTTCAAGTCATAGTCGGCCTCTGCCTTCAAGATCGTGCCTGTACATCCGTTGTGAATCAACAGATACCGTATTGAAATGTTTAGCAAAATAGATCTATCCACACACCTTGCTTGGCCGCATCCAAACATTTGGTATAAACTGTCGTTAGAGATAACAAATTAGAATGAGAATTAGCACAGAAGTTTAAGACACATATCAAAGGAGTGGTACTCAATTCTGGCTGCTTACCGTAACCCATCTTCATGGTCAACGGATGGCTGATCCCGAATAAGTATTCACAACTTTTTTTAAGAAAAAGTTGTCCAAGTTTTCGACAACAGTTTAGTCAAGCAAAGACAGTAGTAAGAGCATGGTTTTCAAACTCACTCACACTTTGTACATTCGTGAATAGCGACCAAAAGCTACAGGCTGAAATAGCGAGACAAGTTGAGCTCGTCTAAACTCTCGATCGAAAGTCCCATGTTCATGTTTTAGATTGATGAAATCTTGGACTTTCATTGTGGGTAAACTTGAGCCTCTTCCGGAGGCAGCCAACGCAACGGTATCTACAGGTTCGATGAAGTTACAAAAACCTTTCAACAATCAAGATACATATTTGTATAGACAATATAAAAACGTAAGTTTGGGTTATTCACCTGAGAAGAAGTTGTTATATTTTTCCGTTGGGAGCAGATGCTTATCATCCGCATTAACAAAATTT